CTGCAACCCGCTAGGGGGTTACCTATTTAAACTCTCTGCGCCTATGTGAGTTACGTATAATAATTACTCTGAGTTAGTCACTAAAAATTAGTTAAAAGCTAATCACGTCATTTGAATAACATTTATAATTATGATCATTCATGTATATTCATATTTCTCTATTTCTCTATTGTTCAAAAATGATTGAGACAGTGGATGATATAGACGAACTTATTAAATATTCCTTTAATATTTTATGGAAAGCAACCGAAGGAAAAATAGCTATAGCTATCTTTAATGATCCATTATTTCAAGTTACCTTTATATTGAATGATGGGACTCCCAAAGTGTTAAATTTAGATGTGCCAAAGGTAGTCCTCATCAAAAGAGAAAACTTCAATAAGATTCTAAATCTCTCTGAACAGAATGAAAAGGCTTAAATAATAATCAATAATGACGAATACAATAAGGTAATTATGCATTATATTTTAAGTTTACACTTTATAGATACTAACAAGACAAAAAATCTTATAAAGGAACCTAATGATTCATATATTCAAGAAAGTTTACAAAATTCTAGCTTTGATGTACCAATAAGCAATCAAATTTCTAATGATTCTGATGATTTTCCAGGCCATAATGATAAAAAAAAAGATGTAACAGTTTAAGCATTAAAATTTATTTTAATAATCATTTAATACTATTTAATACTTATATTTAAATTCCTAAAACCAGTTTTCTGTTGTATCTGAAAACACTAAAAGTAATGAGAGGCAAGGTTTGGAAACTAATATTCAGGTAAAACTGTTTTCATGAATTATCAGATTTGAAAATGGTCTTAATAATTAAAATTCAAAAAGGAGCTGATACAAAATACTGACTATGAGACAAGAGAAGATGCCAAAATGTATCAGCCCCAAATAAATAAGAAGATTAAAGTTGCAAAGAATTTTAAATGAATTAATAAGGTAGATTAACCCTAATAAGCTAAACGTAATAATAAAAATAATAATAATAATAAAATAACCAGTCCGATGAATATTCTAACTCAGCCGAAGAAATTGATAAGCAAGAATTTGATAATACTATAATTTCAATGTTGAGAAAAAATAATTCTAGTCAATCAAAAATCAATAAGAAATCTAAAGCTTCAGAGGAAAATACCAACAAGGTGAATAAATATTAATACGATGATAATGGTAGCTAATTGTAATACAGTCAGCCCTCGCTATAGTCACACCTTTGGGCCCCCAAAAAATGTGATTATAATGAGGGTGTGACTATAAAAAAAAATTTTAAATTTGTAAATTTTATATTAAAAATTAATTTTAGAATTTTATCATTTTGCGCATATGTGTTGTAACGCACCTCCATAAGATCAGGTATAACATGAAATCAAAACAATGGTTTTTTATATGATTAGGGTTAGTTTTAGGTAAGGTTAAGGTAAGATTAAGGTAGTTATAAAAGAGGGGCTTATAGTAAAATCTTGCAAGGAATTTTTTTTGTTAAGACCCAAAAGGTAGTTGCATATACGAAATTTTGAGTTATAGGAGATTTTTGGCAAAACGAATACTTGTTTTAAATTTCCTGATCATATAACATTATACCTGATCTTACGTTTTAATTGGTTGATCATGGGGGTGCATTACAACCTTATGCGTTAAATTATATAACTCTTAATTTTATATAGTTTAATATTGCCAAAAAATATATTTAGTAATATAAAACTATAGCTTTAAAAAAAATTTTCTATATTTTTTTTGTTTCATATTTTCCGAATATTTTTTTTAGACTAAATTAAGTAAAAGAATTGTGTATTAATTGTCACGGCTGAAGCTTGAAATGGCTGAAGCTTGAAATTTTAATTATTTTAATATGAAATTTTCAAAAATTTTTGGATGCATTTTTTTAGCTTTTTT